ACATCTGCTGACATTTAAGATGTAGGCAAGATGGCATCTTCCTCATGATCAGTTTAACAATAACACATACATTGAAAGTTTTAGCATTTTGCATCTTTAGCTTCGTGTCCAAATGATGTGAATATAAAAGGAGGAAAATGAAGGCAACCCACAAAACTGATAATGAAATTAGAACATGTAAGTCATTGTCATCACTCGCTAACAAAGTACCTCATCTTCCTAAATAATAGAGTCAACCCTCTAAGTTATTCTCTCTTAAGTGCCAGATTTGTCTTCTGAGGCCACTTTTGGCACCCAAATTCCTGAAGTCTAGCCTCAAATGAACATTTCTTCCAGTGCCAGAGTCCTGCAGGAGGCTGTAGAGATGGATCCCACAGCTGGTCCCTGCACCAACAGGCATGCACTCGCTGGCTCAGGCATGGTCTTGGGCATGTCCTGCTGAGAATGCCCTTTCCCTAGAACCTGCATGGTACGGAGCAGCCTCCCTGAGACCCTTCCCATCTTTGTTCATATGCCACTTTCCCAACGAGGCCTGTGATCATCTTATTTGAAATTGTGACACCTGTGCTCCACACCCACCGCCTGATCCTCATCTTCTTTTTTCCATTGCACTTAACACTTTTCTTGTAAACCTAGAATTAACTTATGTTTATTGTTGATATCTGTGTCCTCTGATAGACTGTGAGCACTGTGAGATTACAGATCTTGATTTGCTTTGCCCATAGATATAAGTGCCTAGAATGGTGGCTAGCCCTTAGCATATAAACATGTGTTGAGTGGATGCATAAGTACATGATGCATTGATTATTACTAGCTGTTTATGCCACTTCAGGCAGTTTTCAGTATAGCCTTCAGTATTCACATAGTTAAAGCCATCCTAAATATTTGTGCTTGAACAGTGTTGTCTGTGAAATGGAACTGCTTAGGTCATGAGTGCATTTTTGAGTTCTGCTGTTGAGTCAGAGCATGCTGGCAGTAGCTGCTCTACTTGTAGAAGTGAAACCTCCTGGTGTTTTGGCCCCATGAGATCTCATGAGATTTCCCCCAACATTTTTGGCTTTATTCCCAATGTGCACTTTGGTATCTCTTAAAGACCAGCCTGTTGGACGTTATTCTTAGAACACTCAGCAGTTAACCAAGTCAGTAATATGTGTTGATTAGACGTTATTCTAAGCACTCAGCAATTAACCTAGCCAATAATATGTGTTGATTGTGGGTGTGACCCACCATGTCTGTTGTGATTTTTAACTTCAGAGCATCTTAGGAATTACCCAGTCCAGCTCATTTTATACTTTAAGAAACTCAGGAAACCAAGATTAGGTTAATCTTCTAAATTCACAGTACTAGCTAGAGGCAGTTCTGGGACTGCAGTCCTAGTCTGTTTGAGTTTTTTTTAAAAACCCACCATATTGCTACAACATATAGCAACACCAGTTTCCTCGTGCAGTGCAGTCATCTACTGTCAACACGGGGCTTGGCTTATTTCCCTTCAACTTCTCACCCATCTTCCTTAAGAAGGATCCAGATTTCTCCAAATGTTACCTTCATGTGGGACCCTATTCTGTCACCCCAACCCAAAGCCTTCTTAGAATGCCTTCTCCACAGGGGCCAGTATTTTCTCCCAAGTGCCCGCTGTTTGGAAATGCTTTTCTGCTCTCCTGGGCCCCTGTCTCCAGGATGCTCAGCGCAGGGACTGGAGGAGCCCCTGGTTAGTGTCTAGTGGCTGCTTTGTTACGGTTTTTGACTCCATCTCTTTTTTGCCTCTTTTCCCAGCTCCACCCTCGATTCGGTTTGCCCTCAGGAGCTCCTTACCTTCTTTGATCAGTTTCTCCAGCTCCTCCTTCACCCTTCGTGGCCTCTCAAGGCCACATCAGTAGAGTTAGGAGGTGAAAGAAACAACCACCCTGCTCTTATTTAGTACTTGATTTTTTTTCAGTATGATGTCATTTGACCATTACAGCAACCCTGTGTTAAGTGGGAACAGATATTCCTACTCCTTTTTTACTGATAAAGAAATGAAATACAGATATGTAAAGGAAATGATCTCATTGGCAGAACTGGAAGTGGAGCCTCCAGCTCAGAGTTTAGAATCTTTTCTGCTGTCCCAAATTTTAACAGAAAGAAAGACAAAATTTATCACTGTCTGGTATTATGAAATGTACGTAATTTTTTTTTCCTGAACATCTTATTCAGTTTAAAAATCTTCTGAGAATATTAATGTGGATTTCTCTAGTGTCTTTATTAGCTTGATTTTAGAAAAGCCCACTGGCAGTTACATTAGTGATATAATAAATAGGTTCTCTGATACTGACTGCATTTTCATCTACATTACCAGTTATTAAATGCTGTTACATGTGGAACTGTGTTTGCAATATTTTATTTGCTGTTTTGAGAATCAGGTTGTTGGTAAGATTTATTCAAATTCTTGATTTAAATAGTGTATCAGTACAACTGTTAATAATTTGATATCTTTCACAGAACTGTTAATAATTTGATATCTTTGCAATTTTTGAAAATCCACATATTCTAGTAGATCCTGCACTTAAAGTGTAACACTTATTTCACATATAAAACATGATATAATATTGTATTTAAACTTTAAAATATTCCTTAAAATATGTATCTCAGCTAATAAAAAGTGGTGTCTTCCCACTTATTATTCATAGACAGACTGAAATTTGTTTTTAACTTAAATTCAGTCAATAAGTTTTACTTAATTTTATTAATGTTTTTAAGTTACTTCACTGCCAAGCAGAGCATTTTAAAGCACACTGTGATATATGTACTCTCGTAAGAAAAATGAAATGTAATTATATTTTTCAAGTAAAACAAATTGCAAACTGACATTGTCCTTACATGGCTGGCAGTGTCCACTCCCTATCAAGTTTCTCTGGATAGCCGACCAAGAGGGTTTATATGCAAAGTTGCAAATATATGGTGTTTTGTAATGCAGCTTTATTTTCACTGCTACTTGCCCTCCCAGAGGCCATGGGATGCACATATTGTTTGTATGTAAGAGTCTTAGAGGATGTTAAAAAATCCTTGTGTCTTATGTTCAGAGCTGTCAGTGTGATCTAAGGCCCGAAATCATAAGGTACAGTGGTATACAGTAAATTCATATAAAGTCCTTTGATATGAATTGAAGTTGTCCAAATTCATTTCCTACAGAATAATATCCAAATTCTAGGTTTGCCTTTGATGTTGTTACTTCCACTCATTTTTAAGTTGTTTTCATGTTTTACATTGCCAAATGGCACACTACCTGGTGTGCACCCTCTTGTTGAGACCATTCTTCATTTGATACAGTGTCAAAGAAAAAAGTGAGACTTCTGGGAATTTGGTTTGCCTTACAAGTTAGGGTAAGTGGAGAGAACCATCTTGACAGGATGATGAAATCTGTGGAAGTATTATAGCAAACAAACAATTACCACCTGCCTATTATCCAGTTTCCTGAATGACAAAAATTCTCTATGCATCCTGCCTCAAAGGCTTGGCCATGGGGTGGTTTCATCTTCTGATAGATTAGCTGTGTCCAGTCACATTTGTTATCACTTATGTGCAATCTTGCTGTTTACCACCTTTAAATCAGAAATACATTCTGCTTAGGGGAAGACACACACACACACACACACACGCACTCTCTCTCTCTCTCTCTCTCTCTCTCTCTCTCTCTCTCACTGATTTATACTGAAATCACAAAGGCCTTTTAAAATGTCTTGTGAAAATATATTAGCAACCTTTCTTAGAACAAACATAAATGAGAATAGTAAATCAACGTGCAGGCCAGCACCAGTGTTGACAAGTCTGTTGTGACCTGTGCTACATGGAGTAACCATTGCAGACACAATCGTCTTAGGCACCAAAATGACTTATGAGCTTTTTTCTTTGTTCTTTTCTTATCACTTACTATTTTTATTAGTTTAGCTTTTTCCAGACGTGTTTACTCAAGAGACACCTATTTTAGTTAGGAAGAAAAAGAGAAATAACACCAAAAAAGCTACAGTAATTGGGGCTGAATTCTTGTCAGTCTTAAAAGAATCCTAATTGTTTCTCTTTGAACCGACTAATCCATAAAAGTTTTCTGAAGGGATGGGATGTGGTTGTATTTGATGGCTTCCATTTGAATGATTTCTACTAGCGTTTTTCTTACTTGAGAACTATTGGAAAGAACATGATCAATTTTATACACATAGAATATAGTAAAATGCTGATAATTATAAGTTGTTTACTCATTGGAGCTATGTATTACATGATCAACTGAAAAAGCATCTCTCAGAATGGGAAAAAAAGAGGATTTAGTCTGAGTTTCTGAGAATAATTTTCCAAGTATATCTGGAAAGATAAATTGATTTTAAAGGATGTATAATTGATTAATTAAAAACATCATTTCATAAAACTCATTTTATAATCCACTGAGAGCAGCTTCAAAATGCCCTCAGATAAGTATCGAGCCAAGTGGTACAAATCATTTTCATGCAACTAAAGATACCATTTATGGGTCAGGCATGGTGTGTCACGCCTGTAATCCCAGCACTTTGGGAGGCCAAGACAGGCAGATCATGGGGTCAGGAGTTTGAGACCAGCCTGGCCAATATGGTGAAACCCTGTATCTACTAAAAATATAAAAATTAGCAGGGCGTGGTGGGACGCACCTGTAGTCCCAGCTGAGACTTAAACATCAGCCTATCTTTAAGCTGAGGCAGAAGAATCACTTGAACTGGGAGGCAGAGGCTTGCAGTGAGCCGAGATCACGCCACTGCACTTCAGCCCAGGCGACAGAGCAAGACTCCATCTCAAAAAAAAAGTGGGCCAGGAGTAGTGGCTCATGCCTGTAATCCCAGCACTTTGGGAGGCTGAGGCAGGCAGAGCAAGACTCCATCTCAAAAAAAAAAAAAAAAAAAACATTTATGTTGGAATATCCCCCAAAATGAAAATACACGTGACCTCTTTAACTTCGTGCTATTACAGTGTATGTGTATGTTTTCTTTCTTCTCTCATAGGTATGAGAAAGTGCCAGTCATCTTGGTTGGGAACAAAGTGGACCTGGAAAGTGAGAGAGAAGTATCGTCCAATGAAGGCAGAGCCCTTGCTGAAGAGTGGGGCTGCCCCTTTATGGAGACTTCTGCTAAGAGTAAAACAATGGTGGACGAACTCTTTGCAGAAATTGTGAGGCAGATGAACTATGCTGCTCAGCCTGACAAAGATGACCCATGCTGTTCGGCATGTAACATACAATAGCATCCAAATATGGCTGTTCTGGATGGGATTTGCCCAGTGTTGTAGGTGATAGAAAACTCACCTACTCCTCTGCAGAACTTGCAAGATGCGTGGTGTTAATCTACAGAGAACTGCAGCCCTTATTCAGAATTGAGCAGTGATTGTCAGTTGATATCTCTGAGTAACATTTGGGTTCAGTAACTACAGTTTTCACCATTTGTCCTCAGTCTCCTTTCTGCATCTGCAACTTTAAGGCATAGTCCATCGATCTACAGGGTGATCTCATTTGAAAGCTATGATGGCATTGTCACTGAGTTGACAGAAGCAACTATTGTATAAATTAAAAATAACCATAAGGGAGAAACCAGAAGATTCCTATGACCACTTACAATTAAAATATTTTGTCTTCTTTAAAAAAATAAGTAAAGGAGAAATATTTTCCTACAAGAGTCCTGAATTTCAGGAATTGGGATAGAGCTTCTAACCAATGTATTCCGTCAAGTAAGATAATAACAGCTGACCTGCCAGCAGCATTACAGGGAGAGATTCTTTGCTCAGCTAACACATTTCTGTTTTTCAAAATTGATGCTTAATTGTAGCTGTTATTCTAATTTGTGACATGGAACTAACTCATGCTTCAATCCTTGATAGAGCAAAAGTCAGAACAGGTTGTGTAAAAATACAGTCTAGCTTTAGAATTTGTTAAATCACCTGCTTTGCCACAGAAAATGGAGGCTTTCACAAGGGTTTGATCAGAATTAAACTCCAAACCCACCCTCTTTTAACTGAGCAGGGGTGGTCTTTATAACTTTACTGAACAAGAGGGAAGCAACTGTGATGGGAAGAGATTGCCTAGCCTTATTAACAAGAAGCATTCTAATAGATACACTAGTACCATCATGTAAGGAAAATGAAGCCATGTTGCATCCACATGTTCCCGTTTGCAGAAACCTCATAGGACAATATGAATATCTGGCATTTTTAAGTTCATTAAAGCAGCAAATTCCTTCTCGCCTTTAAGGGCTATGGTTGTAGTGTGACCTGTAGCTAACCTGCTTTCAAAATCAAGTTTGCTGTAGCAGAGCTTTATTGCAGGCATTTTAAAAATTGAATAACTATGTGAAATAATTTGGGCATAAAAGTAGAACATAAATTATAGAGTGGAAGGTAAGGGACAAAAGCCTTTTATCTTTAATTTTCCTGGAGAATTATATAAAGGTTTTCTTAGAACAATTTTGCCCTGATTACTGAAGTATCAAATAAAGCTGGAGTGAATATTTTGTTTTGAAAAGGTGCTCAAGCTCTGACATTTTTGGTTTTTATAGCCGTGAAGTATTTATCATTTGCATGACTAATGGCACAGGAAAAACCTATTCATAAGTTTTACAATCAAGTATAGAAAGGTCTTCAGCTAACTTCAGTTATAAATGCTGAAAAGATTATCTTGAGCTGCGCCTTGGGAGAAGAATTTGGCCTTCGGAACTGCAATATCACTGAGCCTGCAATCTGTATACCACCCCACCTTTTGTTGGTTTCACAGTCTTGTGCAAGTAACCTCTGGTCTTACATGTGTAACTGAGAGAAGAGTGCGTGTTTTTGTGTGCATGTGTGTTTATTGTTCCTAAGAATTTGGCACAAGTCAGAGATAATTGCCTATACTAAGAATCTATACTGCAGAATATAGTGTATCAAAAGCGTTTTTTCTTTTAAATAATTAAAGTGTCTTTTATACTTTTTGAAATCATTGGTAGCCCCCCCAAGTGTTTAATAACTGGCATTAAGCTTAAGGATGAAGAAAAAAAGGTTGATGGTATTTTTCATAATGAGAAAGCTGAAGGCATATGTGAATGAAAGCTGGCCATAGTTGTCAAAAATCTTTGAATTTTGAATGTTTACATTCTTCAGTATAATTTTTTATAATCCTCAATTATGAAGCACCTTGTTTATATAGGACAAAAAATTTTAACCAATTTTATTGAAACAAATTTCACTGCATAAAAGTTGGTTTGATTCAAACGTACAGAAATTGGAGATTCAAGAGATACGATTTCTCTACTGAAATAAAAATATTTCTTAGTGTGTTGGTTGAGTTTTAAATCCTCTAACTTCTCAGAATGATTCTTTCTTTAGAATTCTATAATTAATAGAAATTTTTGACAAGTAAGATTGCAAAATAGAAATATCTATAAAGATCCCACAGTTTGACATTATGGCTTGCTATGCAGATGTGAAAATAGGTTAAATAATATGAAAGGTATGGGAGAATGTAAAGTGGAAAAGATGATCTCAAATTTTGAGTTGTATTACTAGTTAAAAACATTTGTGTCAGATGACAAGGTGGGCTTTTACTGTAAAGACGTGAATAATAACCCTTCTGGCTGCCTGATCAGTGTTTCCCTGCAGCCCTGCATATTTAGTGATCAAGGACATCCTCAAACTAGAAATTTGTATTCATCTGGTGTCAATATAACTCAGCTGGCAAATGAATGTGTGTGTTGAGATATTATAGAAATAAAACGCTTAAGAACAGGAAGATTACATTTGTTGGCTACAGAAGAAACCTTAGTGGCTACAGAAGAAAGCTGACTTGGGTCACTATTTTATGCCCTGATCAGACTAGCAACTTAGACAGTTTTTCTAACATGCCTTAAAATATTATGGTTTGATCCAAAGACCCACTTTTTCTTTAGCTCTTGTGATAAGATTTTCTTTTATTTTTACTTTTGTACAAAGGCAGCATCTTTAAATTTTTTTTTCTTTTGCTCTTGCAACTTTTGGGTTCTTTTAAACTGTGATAGTGATGGTAACTGATGCCTTTCATTTTGTTCAACTTTCATAAAACAAGCCAGCATCTGATCAAAAGTATTACATAAAATCTTTTCTTAAACTATTGAAAGGTGCTTTGATGATTTTCTCCTTTGGTTTGTAGAATTAGGACTGAACTTTTGACTCGAATTGCTACAGTTGCCATCACTTTTCTGTGGTAATACTACTGATATTTGCTTTTCTATATAAAGAAATGTTGCCTAAGGCTGTCTGGTATTTGTTTTTAAGGGTTTTCCAGTATGAATGTTAATGTTGTCAGTGTATGTATGAATATGAAAGT